ACAGCACGAAGTCGATGTCTTTCCTCAGTGACCAGCACGGATCAGCTCTAGGCATGACGAAGCGATATCGTCCTCTTTTGGAAGGCCAAACAAAATAGTTTCGCTTTCACAACGAAACACACAGCGTCTCCACAGCATGGCGGCAGCAACAATACTACAGTGAGAATCAAAGTTACGCTTGGCTGTTTATTAGTACTTATTAGGCACAAATTAATGCCTTATTTGACCATATTTTAGATCCCTAACCCCATACCTAAACTACCAACTTCCTTACTAACTAATAATATTCAGCAAATTAGAATTTTGTTCAGGGAAAACTTAGTGAATGTGTAATGATTATTATTTTCGAATATTTCTTGTATATTTTATATATTCATTCTTCATCAGTTCATTGTTCACAAATAATTGAATTACACATTTGAATGACTAATTTACCCTTGTCTCTTCTACTGTGCCTCTTGCTTTATTATTTTATGTGGCACTTTTGGTAGAAACCGTATGCATGTCAGCTCCCAGGGTGCACCAAACGTTACACCGACCCCAGCTCATTGCGCAAACACATCAAGGTCCACTCCAGTAAAGCCCTGCAGGCACAGGACAAGGTAACAATTTCAAGTGTTTGTTAGTTTTGTATCAAGAGACTCTTTCAACAACCTCAGCCTCATTCGGTAACTTGATAACCTAAAAAAATACATGCACACACAATGTGCAACTAATTAGCTGATCTTAATGAACTGATAAATGAAGTCACATCGTTTAATGCATTAACTTCATCAGTAATCTTCATCCCAGAGGTCTTTGATGAAAAGGTCTATTGTTTTATGGGCTGTTCCTGCTCTCCAAACAAAGGAGAATGAAGGAGATCTTTGTGTATTCCCATGGCTTTGGCATTCTAAGCAAGAACACATGTGTTCCCATAATACAGTTAATAAGCAGTGCAGTGCTATTCCTCAAGAGGCCAGATGTGACATGCAAATAGCAAACATGCTCACCAGCTCCACTGAATGCTCAAATGAATCAACAACAGAAAGTTGTTTCAGCCTCAAGATTTTGCCACTCTCACAGTCAAGCAGTATATCTTTGCGGTACTTCTTTACAAAAGCAAACTTCAATAAATGCGCCCACACAGAGAACAAGGCTTCACATTTCTTTTCATTGAATTTCATTGATTTTTTTTGATCGGTTTTCACACTCGGTTTTCTTTATTTGACTTTAGTTGTGCCAAATCCATCTGTCACAGATCATAGTCTAAATTACCCGATTTTGACATCTAGTTATTGTGTCTTGCCTTTACAGAGTAAAGTACGATATGGTGTCTGCTTTCTTAGAGTAGGAAATCAGTGTTGTACATTTTATGCTTATGTTTTCTGTATCTTGACAGGTTCAGCTACACAATAAGGTGGAGCAGGAAGTTGTGGATGTGTGCCTTGGCTTGCAGCATCTCCATGGCTCTGTTCATTCAGTACAGAGTCCAGACCATAGGTGTCCTGCCTCCCTCAAGATTCATCAGGAAGGCTTTACTGGTAGGTGTATACCCAATAGTTTATGGTCTATCCTATATTGGGCTTTTGACTATGATCTGCGAGATGTTTTGCCAGCTTGTGCTGTAAAACTGAAGGAAGTAAAGTACGCCAGATAAAAATGACCAGCATGCTGTGTTATTATTGATGCTGGTCTTGGCAATCTTAACTAACCAGCTTCCTCAGAAAGACTCAACCATCTGGTTGGAAAGTCATGCTGGTCTTAGCTGGTGTTTTCTGCATGGAAAACACCTATATTTTTGCTGGTTTTGAGTTATTTTATTATTATATATTTTTTTTTGTAATATAATTATTTGGCCAAAATGCTCAGGTGAAGCATTGCTGTGGAACACAGAACCTTAAACTCAGGTCAAATTTTTGTACAGTTTGAATTTAAGAATTGTGAATTTGCCATTCAGAAAACTTGAAGCATAACATTATAATCTGAATATATATTTCTCCCCTAAAAACATCCAGAACCCAAATTTTTTAAAAATAAATATATAAAATAATAATAAAATATCTACTGGTAACAAATGTGAATCTGAATACTCCACAATTATTTATTTATTTCAAAATGCAAAATTCAAATGTTTTGTATTTTTTCTCTTTTCCATATAAAACTAAGCATAACATCATTCATGATTAGCTCAAGATGTACATTATTATAAACACTACGGTTGAAAAGTTTTATGATTTTATTTAATGTTCTTGAAAGTCTCTTCTTCTCACCAAGTCTGCATTTATTTGGTCAAAAATACAGTAGAACTGTAATATTGTGAAACATTATTACAATTTTAAAAAACTGTTCTGTTTTTAAAATGTAATTTATTGCTGTGATGGCAAATGTTGTGGCAAGTGCAATTCTCCTAAAAAATAAATAAATCATAAATCATACCGATCCCAAACTTTTGAATGTTAGTGTAAAAGAACCCAATGCGAGTGAAAGATGACATTGTATAACCCTGTACACAAGCAGTCTGTATAATTCCAGCCACTATCCATTTTTAACCAGTGCACAGAAGAAATGGTTTATATGTGCATGCCATTTAGCATTACAGATGTGTCCAGGGGAGAATGTGCTCCGACCAGTGAGTCCCGTCCACTCCCTTCCTCATTTCCCTTTACCCATCATTTACACTACGTACTATTTCTGACATCAGCTCTTCCGACGAGCTCAAAAGACCAGTGTTTGCGCACTCACTGGGCACCCACCGTGGGCAAGCGGCCACCGCACGCATGTCTCTCACACTCCAGAATCTTTTCCATTCCAGCCGCTTTTCCCTTCAGATGCTTGAGACGGAGTCAAGAAGCTGTCAGACAGCGCAGGGCTCCTTTAGTCAACACCTGAATTGAAAATCCATGAGGGCAGTCCACACTAATTGCCTTAGACTGCTCGCGACTTTTCTAAAAGATGTGGCAGGCAGACAGAAGCCAAAGATATTTCAGTCGTCTGATTCTGCCGAATAAGAAAGAAACAACTATGTGTTTCTTCGAGTGAAGAATAACTGTGAGAGATGTTTAACATCAGAAGCCAAATTGACAACATTATTCATTCTGACCTTGATCGATGAGGAATTAAACGGCATTAAAAGAAATTAAGCAGCAATGTTATTATGACATTCACTTCCTGTTCGGTTCCTCAAATGTAACATTAACAAGCTGTAATTCTCTCATTGAACCCAGTGATTATAAGTTTCTTTAACATTTTGGTGTTTTACAGCACACATTTAATATTATATGGCTGGATATGCGCTCATGTGACTGTCTCTTTCCCACCGCAAAATGTCGATTTCAACAAATGAGACAAAATCAAATTATAAAATGAATATAGCATAGCTTAGATAACTTGATCTTAGATGTACACTACCATTCAAACGATTGAGGTCTGTAAAATTGCTTAATGTTTTGGAAAGACATCGCTCATTCTTACCAAGGCTTCATTTATTTGATCAAAAATACAATAAAAACAGAAGTATTATTCCCATTTAAAATTGTTTTCTATTGTAACATATTTTAAAATGTAATTTATTCTTGTGATGGCAAAGCTGAATTTTCAGCAGCCATTACTCCAGTCTGATTTGATGCTCAAGAAACATTTTGGTAACACTTTACAAGAAGCTCCCATTAGTTACCATTAGTTCATACATTAACTAGCATTAACTAACAATGAGTGATACATTTGTTGCAATATTCATTCATCCTTGTTAGTGTTAGTTGTAAAAGTACAACTGTTCATTGATCATGTTTGCTCAGGTCAAAATAATATTAGCTGATACATTTGATTTTAATAATGTATTAGTAAATGTTGAAATTAACATTAACTTTTAATAATAAATGCTTCAGATTCATAAATGCCTCAGAACGTCTCTTTCTGTATGTTTCATTGTCATTTTTATTTCATTTTTCATTGATAGTTGTTAACTAATAATGGCAACAACAACTGGAACATTATTTTAAAGTATTAGCAACATTTTTTGTTTACTGTTATCAATGTTGTTTGAGTTCATATTGAAATCTTAGACTTGATTGCAAGAGAATTAATTAAATTCTCTATTGCTTTCCATTTAATTGTGGTAATTGAGAAGTAAATGTGTTGTAACTATATAGAGATCTCATTGGTCATTTGTTTTTGTCGTTCCTGTGGGTTTACAGCATACCCAGAGGAGGATGAATCCTGTTGCAGAGTATTATCTCTGGAGCAGCCCAGCAGATACTGCAGCATGGAGCACAGCAGCATCAGCCTTCACAACCCTCTGCACAACAATCAGCCGAGGTGAGGATCAGCAATCTGTCTGTATAAGCATCACAATATATGACCAGGCAGGAACATCATAATACTGTATAGGGCTTTTCACACTGCGCTTAACCCTAGGTTATTGTCATTCCAAACCCAGCTTTTAACCCCAGGAAAAGACACATCATTTAGATAAGCACCACTTTTTGTGGTGTTAACCCTGCATAATGATGCCTAACTTATACAATGTGAAATTATGTTGTGTTAGAATGTTACAGCTGCTAGATGCTTAGCAACAGACGTCCAATCCCAGGCCTCATATTTACATGCTTTGGACAGTCACAGAAACAAAGCGTGTTGAATAAACAGTCATTTCAGCATTTGAGGGAAAAAACGTCAACTGGTGATGGAAACCGTGTCAACTGGAGGGAAGAAGAGACTGTTTCATTCTTACTTTTATAGTCCGAAAGGTCTATTCAGGAAAAACGTGTTAGCAGTTGGTGACATATAATGAGGATGCGCAGTACCAGAGCTCTTATGTAACAAGTCGCGTGCTGCTTTCTTCCAATCAATGACACTGACACCGCAAATATCCAAATAAGAACAATAACCCAATGTACAGTGTGAAACATCAGCATATGAATACCCAATATTAATTGTTAACCACAAGTACAGTATGAGCAGTGTGAAACATGAAGCAAGGATTCATATATACTGTACAGTAAATTCCCACTGTTTTTGTGAGAAAAGTGATGCCCATGTATTTGAGTGCACTATTTTGTATAGTGATGGTAGCGACAAAATGTTATTTCTTCTCATATTGACTAGTTAGAACGTAGATTAGATATAGAACGTAGCATATTATCAGTTTTAGCAAACATACAGCATGGAAACATCCAGTTTGCTTCTCTGATACATATGGGAGCAATTTTACTTGTCTAATTGGTTATTTGTCACTGACTGGAGGACTCCATCTGCAGTTCATATATGTGCATCAACCACAGCAGTTAGCAACATGTGCTTATGATGTGAAACATTAAAACAGCACGATGCGATGGGAGCGAATCGTCCCTGCCCTGAGAACGGAGACATAATGAAGTGTGGCGACACATGTTTCTTCAGTAGAAAAATATTATTATTATGCATTCGCATGGGTCTTTTTACAGCACACAGTTAACCCATGACCTGTTCTCTCAATGTTACTGTTGCGCTGTCACGCAAATATGTGCCGACTGTGAAGGGATTTGATTTGATCTGGATGTCTTGCATTAAGATGTTTGTGCAATCTTATGCCATATGGACAATTCAGAGATCATACGGATTGTGGTGTTGTGGTCACTTAAATTCGGTTCTTAGGAATGGCTGTAATGATTCTTCTCATTATTTCATCTTTCTTTATTGCGGTTGTTAAAGAAGCGTATTGTTATGCTGTCACTGACCACAAACAGGCCGTGTTTGTTTCTGAACGTTTGCTTATCCAGACGTGTCCGGAAAAGAAACACATGCCTTGACTTGGTTTGTGTAAGCAACAATCACTCTCGAGGTGATGTGACAGCAAACTCTGTGGCTGTAAACAGGAAATGTGTTTCATCAAAAAACAAAACATAACAGCAGAACCTACTTAACACTTCACGCACACCCTCGGTTGCCAGCTATCCTACGAGTGACTGTGTGACAGAAACACTGAAGGCTTGGGTTTGTGGTCCAAAAACAGAAAGCAAATTTTTTCCCAAATGGGTTTTAAATGATATTATACATTTTATAACTAAATTATCTTTCCTAACTCCTGTCATCAGAATCTGATCCCATTGCAAAATCTGTTTGGTTTGACAAAAAAATAAGCATTTAGGAGACTTACTGAGTATTGTTATTTCAAAACTGTTATGAAATGTGAGATTTTGAGTGATTTGCGGTTTATTTTTGTGTAAATGTGCGTGATTGCTGATGGACTTTCTTTTAAAGCAGTTATCAGAAAAGACACTATCATTTGGTCTTGTATGAGTTATTAGCCATTTGATTTTCTTGCCAAAAGAATCATTCAGTTTGATATATGCTTACATTACAATGTATGAGTAGTTTACAAGACAAGCCTTGTGGTGTGGCATGCTTTACCCCATCTAAAACTATTTTAAACAGCTTTTTCCACATGATTCTATAATTTATATGCATGCAGTTTTAGCATACTAAATAAGACTACAATGACCTTTTGTACTTTTAAAAATTCATATATCATAACGTACCACAATTTAAAATGAACCACTGAAGACTTTCAAAGCTTCTAAAATATACACTTATAAGTTTGGGTTCCGTAAGATTTTTTTTTATTATTAATTATTTATTTTACAGAAAGTTTTATTTAGCAAGAACTCATAAAATTGAGAGTAAAACGTTTACATTACAAAAGATTTCAATTTCAAATACATGCAGTTCTTTTGAACTTTTTATTAATTGACGAATCCTGAAAAAAAGTATCACAGTTTCTACAAATATATTAAGCAGCGCAGCTGTCTTCAACATTGATAATAAGAAATGTTTATTGACACTGAAGTAATGGCTGCTGAAAATTCAGCAATGAATTACAAATTCAAATATTCAAATAGAAAACAGTAGTGATTTTTCACAATATTGCTGTTATTACTGTATTTTTACAGTATTTATCCAACAAAAACAGCCTTGGTGTGTATAAGAATCTTCTTTCAACAACATTAAAACCTTATATTTAACCTAAAATCTTGATGTTTATAAATGTAAAAATGCTCACAGACAAGTAAATCTTATATTTAACCTAAAATATTGATGTTAATAAATCTAAAAAATGCTCAAGGACAAGTATTAAATCTAAATCTAAAAATGATCATGGGCAAGTTATTTTGCCTAATTCACTTATTGTGGACCTGCTGTTTTTAATGAGGAATGACTTGATAACTTGATGAGACATTTCAGCAATGAATTACAAATTCAAATATTCAAATAGAAAACAGTAGTGATTTTTCACAATATTGCTGTTATTACTGTATTTTTACAGTATTTATCCAACAAAAACAGCCTTGGTGTGTATAAGAATCTTCTTTCAACAACATTAAAACCTTATATTTAACCTAAAATCTTGATGTTTATAAATGTAAAAATGCTCACAGACAAGTAAATCTTATATTTAACCTAAAATATTGATGTTAATAAATCTAAAAAATGCTCAAGGACAAGTATTAAATCTAAATCTAAAAATGATCATGGGCAAGTTATTTTGCCTAATTCACTTATTGTGGACCTGCTGTTTTTAATGAGGAATGATAACTTGATGAGACACTGAAGTGCATTTGGAGTTCCTTTGGTAGTTGGAGCAATGTTTGGTAGCAGTAATACATTTTTGTCAACCTGTGTGTTTAAAAGGAGGACTGTTGGATCCATAAAATCTTTTCCAAGATGAAAGTTCCTGCCCTGTAAAGTTGAGTCATTTCATTCACTTATTTAATGACCTCCTCAAACATGACAGGATATCTTACCCAAACATTTTTAAGAAGGTCTTTCACGACAGTGTGCAGGCCGAAAATAACAGTCAACCAAGAGGAGGATCGGTGTGATGGGTAAATTGGGATTTTTAAACGCTGCATGAAAGATTCCTCTCATTCCAGCCTAAGGGTGAGTACGGGCAGCTGGCTGTGATTAGTGCATATAGAGAGGCTCGCTGTGAAACTATGAAGAGTGGAGCTGTTTTCTGAGTTTTGTGCTGACAGCCGCTCTATTGGGACACAGCTCTCTGCTCCACACATGGCAGCGCTGCAGGGCTCCCACACACACACCACTTATCTGCCTCACTTATACTGTAAAGTCCAGTGATAGGACACAGCACTACCAGGCACATAATGGATTTTGTGTTATTTTCAGCAGTTTAAAGTTTTTTGTTGCTAATATAATTTATAATGCATAATATGGTTATCCTAAATTTCTTTCCTTTTCTCTGAGATGTTTAATAAAGACTATTTTAATGTTTTACTCATTTTACTTACACTCTCGTTCACACAGTAGGGGTGTGCAGGCCGAAAATAACACAGTCAACCAAGAGGAGGATCGGTGTGATGGGTAAATTGGGATTTTTAAACGCTGCATGAAAGATTCCTCTCATTCCAGCCTAAGGGTGAGTACGGGCAGCTGGCTGTGATTAGTGCATATAGAGAGGCTCGCTGTGAAACTATGAAGAGTGGAGCCGTTTTCTGAGGTTTGTGCTGACAGCCGCTCTATTGGGACACAGCTCTCTGCTCCACACATGGCAGCGCTGCAGGGCTCCCACACACACACCACTTATCTGCCTCACTTATACTGTAAAGTCCAGTGATAGGACACAGCACTACCAGGCACATAATGTTCTTTTCAGCAGTTTAAAGTTTTTTGTTGCTAATATAATTTATAATGCATAATATGGTTTTCCTAAATTTCTTTCCTTTTCTCTGAGATGTTTAATAAAGACTATTTTAATGTTTTACTCATTTTACTTACACTCTCGTTCACACAGTAGGGTATCTACACCATAGCACAATATTTACTTAGAGGGTGATCAAATTTAGTGGGAGAATTGTCCCAAATTCCAAGACAACTATTTTTCTCTGAATATGACTGGTTAGTTTTCATTGGGGTGTAGCTCCATTTAAGCAGATATGAGTTATAATGACAAAAGCAGCTCTTGCTGACGAATAACACTGAAGAGCTTCCAAAAGACGCTTGGGCCGAACACCCTCAGGCCTCTCTGTAAGGGACCACATTATTTAAATGAACACCGTGCTCCACATAAAGTGCATCATGATGGTTCATTGCTGGCTAGCTGTGAGTTACAGCCTATGCTGGGCTCTCCAGAGGAATGAGTTACCAATAGTAACATTCTTTCATCGTTTACTGATCTCTACATAGTTAGAGTAATACATTAGTCATGACCACAACTTTTAGGTACTGTTTGTATGTGAACTGTTTGTTTTTATTTTGTGTGAGGCAATCTTTTCTGAGGTTTTTATGTAATCATTTAAGCAGTTCTTGAATCTTGGCTCAATTTGACATGAGGTAGAATTAATAGAATAGAATAGAATAGAATAGGGAAAAAATATGATTTATATTAAGTTATAATTATAACACACACACACACACACACACACACACATATATATATATATATATATATATATATATATATATGGATATGACTTAAATTCTTAAATTCTAAATAAATAAATGGTTGTTAAAATAGTTAATAAAATAAGCAAATATACTGTATATTTTATATACTGTTATGCTCTATTTAATCCATAAATATAAATAATATGATTACATTCATCTAACCTTGAATCTCCTCTAAATAGATAAATACATAGCTTTATAAATTGTCACTCCCCAGAATTCCCAGATAATGGCTCATGTTATAGAACATTAAAGGCATGAAATAAATCATTTCAAGAGAAGTTCAGTATGCATGATTATAGACATGAATGCATGAATTTAAAAGCAACTGCTGTGTTATTTCAGACTTTCTCCACTGGTTTGTGGAATCAGCCTGGTCAGTGGTACCAATGAGGTCCAGTCTGTCTCTGACAAACAGAGCTCCTTCCCAAACCCACATCAAAAACTCAACCAGATGTTTCATGAAGTACCAATAAATCACCACGGTAAGAAAGCTATTTTGTATTACCTTCATTAATGTTAAAAAAAATGGTGAAAGGCATTCTTCACTCTGCTGCTTTATATGCTACAATATTTCCGCAAACTGACAACTTGTTGCAACTCCTCAGATTGGGCACTGACGATGATGATGCAGTCTTATGATTTGATGTTAAATAGACACTGTAATTTTCTCTTTGAGTGTGCACAGAGAATGTTGAGGAGAGATGCTGTTTACATTGAGTTCGTAAAATGTCTTTGTTTTGTTGTATGTTTAAGCATTATATTCGATCTCATATTTGTGATGTCAGTATCACATCATATGGTGTACCATTTTGCCTTCTTTTTCAAATAAATTGAGAAATACATTTTCAAATAAATAAATCTATCTGTCTGTCTGTCCAAGTTTTTTTCAGGTGTTTGACCTTGAAATGCTCGTCTGCAAGCTAACAGAAGAAATACTACTAGAATGCTAGCTGTGCCATCTTGTGGTTGTTAACTCGAATATAACGCCTGTAAAGTAGTTTACTTTTACTTCACTTTACTTTTAGTCATTTAGCAGACACTTTTATCCAAAGCGACTTACAAATAAGAAAAAATAATTAAAACTAAAAGCTAAAACTGTATAAATACTTTATATATATATACACACACATTTAAGAAAATGAAATATTTATTTCAATATTTATGAAATAAATTAAATAAAAATGACAAATGCATACAACAACATTTCAAAACTAAAACATTTAAATGAAAAAAATAAAATAAATAAAGCTAAAAACAATTCTAAAATATTAAAAGAACAAAAAGGTATGAGTATAATAATGATTCTAACATAGCACTAAGCCAAACACCAAAAAAACAACTACATATTTTAAACAAGTTTAGTTTGACTTTAGGCTGAAAAACAGCGCTTATTATTTTATTATTCTTAAATTGTTTTTCAGCTCTTGGTACGAGTTTTAAGTTGCTATGAAACAACAAAGATTAGGAGAAGTACTATAAAAGTAAAAGCATGAATTTCAACGCCGTGAACAAGTAGCTAAACGTTATCTCTCTTAAAGAGGTAAACAAAAAACAAAAATGTATTTGCAGTAAAGTGATAAATACTCGGAACTAGTTGTTTTGTCAAGGTGCTACATTTAGCATGCGTGTTGTTGCTATGGTTACCTCTTCAGGGGAACGTGGTTTCTCGCGAGCGTCTTTAACACAGTGGTTTGCTGACTTTTATCTAACTTTTGGGATAACTGGATATGTGTTTGAAAAGGCTGTTGAGATGAACATCCTATGCAGTCATATGTCAAATGAACATACTGTTTTAAGAGACTCCCTAACATTCAAGCCAATAATGAGGGGGGGGGGGAGGCCCCACAGCATGACGGAAGTCTACCTTTCCAGGTAGCCCAAGTTTCTTTCCCTCGCTGTATTCACTCACACACTTTCCCTCCGCATCACACACACAGGAAGCAGAATTTCCACATTCCAGCCGGTGTTGTGTTGATCAGGACACACCCAGCGCGCGCGCACACACTGTACAGTAGAGAGCGATGGGACTGCTGCTCTATGCGCTTTGTGTCGCGGTGATCTGAATGAATGACACTTCCACCAACACATCACAATAATGACACGTGAAGGTAAGCGTCACTTTGAACACTTTACTCTGACTTTAACACTACACCCATGCATTGTAACCGTGTGTATTTTAGTGAACTTAAAATTGCTTCGGTAAAATACTTTGTACGTGGAGAGAGTTGCTTTAGTCAGTCATTTCTAAATAATACATATCTTACGTTGACCGTTTCTGCTTTGCCTTCATAATTGGATTGTGTTTTGTATTGATTTATTGTTGTTTTATGTTATGTTGTTGAGCAGACGCATTGTGAAGCTGCGCTTGAGTAAAATCAAAGATCCGCTATCTGAGAGGAAACTGCTGGAACTGGGTGTAACAGTGCGCATTGTTCTGCCATGAGATCATGTAGGATAGGTTTGAACATACCCAGCGCTTAATCCATTTGTTCATACATTAGGAAAACTTTTATTTAGTATGCATATCATATATAAGAACACCCCCCACCTGTACCTTAAACCTCACAGAATTGATCTTCCTTGCATTGAATTGATCAGTCTAAATGACTGTCATGGGTTGAAAGAAAATGTATATTTATTCCACGAAGCTTAGGCTATCTTATTTTCACGGGCCCAAATGTTTAGTAATTTCTCTTTCTAAGTGAGCTCATATTTTCAGGACTAGTCCAGTTAAATTTACTAATAAATGAATGAATCTCGACTTCTCTCTTGCTGTCACTGTCTATTCGAATAGAAGGGAAACACAAAGACCGGAACGGTTTTATTAATATTTAGTTAAAAAAAATATACAGTCAAAGCCAAAAGGATCTAGTTGTTTGTTTGGGTCAGGTTTTTCCTACATTGTGGGAACCAGCACACCACAGAAAGGTTTCTGTGATGGTCCGGTTTATGCTTACGGGATATAAAATATCATTAGCTCACTATCAAACAATAGAAGTTGATGGAAATTTTCCATCGTGATTGAAAACAAACCTGTGTGCATGTAAGAGAGAGATGAGATCAAAATGTAGGTGATTGTTTTATTAGGGCTTACTTGCTGAACTTAAGCCAGCATTGTTTCTCCAATTTAATGTGGATTTGTGACAGCTTAGATTAAATCTGCAAATCTCTCAACGGTGATACTCCATAACCTATCATTACTTCATTCTAAAATGTACTTGTAGTAGTTGTTTTTCAACTTGTATTAGTTGTTCGTCACTGGTGCAGATAAACATAGCCTTTTCATTTCAGTGACACAGAACATCTTTAGGCCGGTGTTGGGTAAACAAATAGCTGTTGATGATATCTGAACTAAAATGAGTGTTTCAGCAGTATTGAATGCAAGGCTGGGTTGGCCTGGTTCCTCACCCCTCGTTCCTGATGTGGATAGTCTGTGTTGTCAGGGGGCTTGCACATTCCACTCCCATTGTTTACATCAGGAAAGTCTGATGCCAGGCCTATACGTGCAGGGGAACGAAAACATGTTTTGTCATCTGCACAACAGGGAAAAAGATATTGGAGCAAAGATCTCTTAAAGATAACAGAAGATGAATTAGCTTTTTTTTGTGAAACAAATCATAAAAACCGTTTACTACGTAATAAAACAAAGAAGTAATCTAAAACATAAAAGTATTACTTTTACTATTAAAAGTAGAACATAAGGATATATTGTTATACATGCAGGCAGTGATCACTGCCACTAATCTGTGCATGCATTTAAGTTTTCATAGCTTCAGAAATTATATTAAACACTTCTGTTTAATTTAGAAAGCACTTATTGCTACACAGCCATCAAAGGATGTGTGTGATATATTTGTTCAGTTCCCAATCAACCGTGAGCTGCGTGGTTGCCAGATAAGATGTTTCTCTGTAAGAAGTGTGGACTCCTGCTCCCAGACTCATCTCATCGCCATGCCAACTCCCGCATAAATGACAACAGTGCCGAAGCCCCAGCCATGTTGCTATGCACACGGGATCTTTACCTCTCTGCTCAACCTGAGCGAGCAGATCCCTGGAGGTCGAGCTAGAACATAACAGAAAGAGAGAGAACATAATAAGTGTGCATGTGATATTTCACTCTTAAGATGTAGAATCAGATCACATGAAATCTGTAAGTCATTTGTTGGTTGACTGTGTAAACTCTGTTTTTCTGTAGCACTTTCGAAACTGTTTGTTTTAGTGGTCCGATTTATCGGCATTATCTCTGATTATCTTTGATATGCATTGAAACGTCCAATGTTATTGACAATATCAATGTTATTGACAATATAACAAACCTTTGGAGTCCTCCACCGTAAACTTAACCACTTCTCAACTTTTCAACCTTTTAGAAAAATATATAAATATTGTATTATATATTTATTGTATATTATATGTGCAGACTTTAAAATGATTACAGATTTTAGAAATGACGTAATATGAAATGTCAAATGTTAGATCGGTACTCTATATTTTAATACAGCAATCCTTTTGTGGTTGAATTGTATTGATGTTTTATGGTAGCAGCAAAATAATTCAGTGTTTCTTAATGACAAACATCCTTAAGTACTTACAATGATGCTGAAATAAAAGTCAATAAACAACAAGATTTAGATCATTTTATATATTTATAAAAATATATAATAATTATATTACGATAATTTATAAAAATAAATAATAGCTGCCCCACTGCAAACAAAATATCATAAAAAAAGATTAAATAATGATTAAAATGAAAATAAAGAAATTTTAAAGCTTGGTTAAAATGATAGAATTCTTTGAAAATAATTGAATGGCACCGGGATTTCACATAGAACAGAATAAAACTATTATAATTTCAAATTATTTAAATGGAGTATGTAAATATGATGGAACACATAATAATACAATAAAATCATCCTATTAGTGAAGTATTTTATAAGGATTTGTAAACATTTGTTGCCTACATCTCTAAAACTTAGTTTTAGATGCTGTCAGTAAATGAATGTTTCAATTTTAGGAGTGTTTTGCCATGCTTCACTGTTTAAATATGATAAGTGTGAAGCTATTTCTAATCCTTGGGTTTTTTTTGTTTGTTTTTTTGTTATAGGACTTGTCTTTTTATGCTGGCTGGGGATTCTTCAAATGGTGCATGTGACCGAAGGAAGCGCTAAGGAATGTGGGTGCCCAGCTGCCAGCATTTTGTCTCACTTTCCATCTGAGATGCCCAATGACACTTGCTGCTTGAACTACTCAGGATCCACATTCAACCAGGTGACTTGGGCAACTTTTTTGTCGCATAAACACTTGCAGGTTTTGGACCTGACTAACTGTAATATCAGTCACATTGATCACAGTGAGGTCGGCGATGCTGTCAGTTTATTGAGAGAGCTGTATCTTAGCCAGAACAGACTGACATCACTGCCAGCTGACTTCCTAGCTAAAGCCTATAGTTTGGAAGTGCTGGATCTGGGAGTGAATCATCTGAAACACCTGCCCGAGCAATTTCTGCAGAACTCGAACAAACTGCGAGCGCTGATCGTGGGATGGAACCTGCTGAGCGTTCTACCTCATTCAGCGCTTAAGCCTTCGCTAGAGCGTCTGGAGCTCATCGGAAACCCCTGGGCCTGCACATGCTCGCTGTGGGAGGGTCTTGAAGGTGGAATGCACGACAACTCCAGCAGCCTTCATGACCTCGTAGGCAATCTGACCTGTGCCTCTCCTCAGAATCTTGCAGGACGGAGGGTTTGGTCTTTGCAGACCAGTGACTTGTGCCATTTGGCCAACCTGACCGCTCTCTTCATCCTGCTTCCCCTGTTCCTCCTCCTCAGTTTGATGCTCTGCTGGTGCTGTGGGAGGAAGAAGAAGAGGAAAGAGAGCTCATCGTTCAGCCCGACTCGCAAAAGATCCAACAACTCCCATTGCAACGGACGGTGGCCACATGCCAAACTGCCCACTGGGGATTCAGCAGTGTCTGTAGACGGTGGAAAGGAGGTCATACTGAGGAACCATCTGATGCTTCAGCCCTCATCCAACTTGATGGACAGCACTCGTGATATTTATGAAGAGGTGGAGATCAAACTGGGCTCTGTGAACTCTCTGGCCCCTCCGCCGTCCTCTTGCTCCACAGAAGGGACCGCGGGAAAGCAGGACCTGGACACGGTGAGTGTGAGCGAAGTGATGAAGGACTCGGCTGATCGGGAGAAGGCGTATCTGACCCAGTCCACTGAATACTACAGCTTGGTTCCCGGGATTGAAATAGAGGACTCCGATCATGGAGAGTATGAGAGTGTGGACCTCTCGTGACAGTACAGAAAATGGTTGCGTTTGATTGACATACTCAGAGATGCTATCAAGTACACTGGAGTTTTGTGAGGTCTGAAGGTGCAGTCACATTTACCATTTGCTTGGTGAAATTTCATGGGCGAATCCAGTCATTCCAATAAGATTCCGCAAAGAAGTTTTGCGTGAGGGGGAAACGGACTGCCCCCCAAATAAATTCTCCTCACTGACCAACAGAAAGAGACATCTGTGTGAGCAGTGCTATTGACAATGGACCACAGACCTGTTTTTTTTTGCACAAAAAATTTTTTGCTGAAATTTCGCTAATGTGACAGCACCTTCGGTCAGGACGTTTTCCATTTGGTTGCAAATGCACAGTGAACGTTGATGTTAAAGAGGTCATATGATGTTGCTAAAAAGAACATTATTTTGTGTATTTGGTGTAATGAAATGTGTTTATGCGGTTTAAGGTTAAAAAAATCACACTATTTTCCACACACTGTACATTATTGTTTCTCCTCTATGTCTCGCCTTTCTGAAACTTGTCGATTTTTACAAAGCTCATCAGTCTGAAAAGCGAGGTGTGCTCTGATTGGCCAGCAATCCAGTGCGTTGTGATTGGCCGAATACCTCAAGCGTGTGACTGAAATGTTACGCCCCTTTACCATACTGTGATGCTGTGTCCCGGAGTGACGAAACAAAAACATTAAAACCCATTATAAACAAGGCATTTGTGGCATCCAGTGGGGACATAATTACAGATTATAGTGACTTGTCTTTTTACGCGTTGCGTTGCGTTGCATCGCGCCGCGTAAACATAAAACCATGTCTGCATTTGTGATCGGAGAAATGACAAACAACAAGCGCTACTCTACACTGCTCAAAACTCGCGTTTGAATCATCAGTGGCAAATTCTTTAAATATGAAAATGTACTTACAGTCTGTGAGTCAGAACAGCCGGCATTGGCAGCAACAATAAAGTTACACCTTCTTTCTTTGCGTGAACATTTGGGAGGTGTTATGCAAATCTTCCCACACAGTGAGACATAGAAGTGGGGGGGGGGGCGTGTTTAAACGAGGCGTTTTAGGAGGGCGTGGACCAGTCTCAACTTTTATAAAGAATATCTCTTTAGGTTTGAGACTTTAGTCTTTGCAACTTTAGGGATCTTATCTATTCACAAACAGCTTGTAACACTCCAAAGAGAAAGGAAAACTTAAAATCGCATCATATGACCCCTTTAAAGGAAGTCACTGCGCCAGTGCAAAGCCATTATATTTGCATACAACGGGAATGAATTACTGTACTGATAAAGTGTCAAATGGAGCTGTTTGCAGACTCAGTCTGTTGCCAAGATAAGCTATCATATAGCTGTCGCCTATATATTTTCATTATATTGAGATTTTTATATCTTCGTCTACTGTAATTTAGATGAAAGTTTTATTATTGTAATATTACTTTGTGTTTCACCTTCAGTTACAGTGTTTAGTGTCAATGTAAAATGTATTTGGTGTCACATAACTTATATATCATCGTGAAGAAGAAATGTAACAGTAGAGAGCATGAGAACAGCAAACAGAGTCCAGCCTCTGGTCTTTATCTTAAGTAATCAAATCTGCTCAAATTTGATGTATGATGGACTAACATTTCTCTCCTACATGGAATTTTGGAGGGTCACTGTTTATGTAACTATTTAAATGTTGAATACTCTGACTTTTTAGTCAATAGTATCTAGCCTCAGTTGGCCACAGCTGATGTAATCATTATTTTGGCCTTGCTAATAATTAATTTACTCTTAGCGAGTTAAAAACTTGTATAATCAAATAAACAGAAACCGCTATAATAGTAAAATGAAGTGGATTTCAGATAAGATCAGGCTGACTCAACAAGAAAAAAAAGCAGATTTTGATGGAAAGCCTAAATAAAGCAGGAGAGGTTGTACACCGATACATACAGAACTATACAGAACAAATAACACTCAACTTTTACATATAAAATGACTTTTACTGTCTTTTTGTTAATTGAAATAAAACTGATGTTAAATAAAATACAAATATTACATGAACATTTTTAACTTTAAAAACTTGAAAAGGAGAAGTGTTGCCTTGGCATTTAACTGAAATAAAATAGGTTTAAGATAAAGTACTAAAATTACTAAACCTAAAACTGAAATAAAAATAAATGAAAACTAAACAGTAATATTTAAAAAAACTAATAAAGATGACAGAAGTACATAAAACTTCAAATAAAATAAAAATATTAAAAAATATATATATAAAAAATAAAGAATATAAAAATAAAAGCTAATTTATAATAATAATAAATACTATATAAGTAATACTACAATAACACTGTCCATTTCTATATTGATAAAATTACAAATCTAGTCCAATTTCTAACAAGGCCAGCAACAAAAATGATGGTCAAACAACACTGAACAAAACACACAGTTTTTGTAATATTGGGTGCATATGAGTTACACTGGACTTTCTGTAGGAATTTATTATGATAATTTGTGACATTATCAAACAATCCTGAAAATTAGAAATTATATTTAATTATTGCCTTCAAATAAATGCTTTTTCACTTAATTGTTGTTTTGCATGTTTCTGAGATTTTTAACTCGTTCAGTGTTAATTAATTGGACTACAGGCTCTAATCATTGGTTGTTTAACTGAAATTGTGAAAACATTTCAAATGTATTAATCATACTCCGTCCTAAGGGACCAAGTATGAAATGAATATAGCCCTTCCAGAGTCTCACACTGGTCTTCACAAGATCTGCTTCTGTGTCCCCATAAGGACCCAGGCCATTCATTAGTGGCTGAAATCACTCAACAGTAATAGAAAGCCAGCTCTGATTTCCTCCTGTGTGGGAGTTTGTAATTATAGCATTGGGTTACTCCGTCCCAGTACAACCTGCAGAGCTGTTATAGCCTCACAGACATCTCTACCTGCCCTGCTGTGGGACAGAGTGTTATATTTTGGGCTCTGTGGGCACTTTAGAGTTGTGAAATTTCTATTTTTAAAGCTTGCTTGACCAGACACAATGCACAAAAGCGTGTTCTTTTATTTAGAGGCAATCTAATTATTTAAACCATCACTGCAATTATGAACATGCCTTCATTTAATTTAGTAGTGCATATACATAATTGTCAAAGTTTTGCAAATTTGAGCAAATACATTAATTTAGTGATTATCATAAGGGTTTTGCTCAAACAAACATTTTTAATTATGTTTCCTGAACTAAGAGAGCCCTTCAACAGAGATTATTTTTTTATGATAAGAATACATGTTCCTTTAAGAGTAAAAAGTTCTCATATATTATTGCTTTTTACTGATTCATTTATTATTTAAAAATGAATTGTTTATGTTTGACTACTGTCTTGATGTGTTTTATGTGTACAATAGATATCTAAAGAAAATGTTATCATGATTCTTCTTACCTAATTGAATTCAGCTGGAAAACAGGATATGTAAACAATTTCTCAAGGGGAAGTATGGGTTATAAAAAAAATGTGATCAAGCTTTTGTTTTATTTAACATGGAATGGAATGGAAGGGGTGTTCAGCATGGACAAAGTGAACTGATGCTGCCAGTGCTGTGGGTCTTCTAAATTGGAGTAATACTGTATTTTCTTTCCCTTATAGTTCCCCTAATGGTTGCTGAAAATCTGTGTATGTTTTAGGCAGGCAGGCAGGCAGGCAGGCAGCTTATCTTCTTAAACTTATCATGTTTAAGAACATCTCATAAGTCATCTCAAAATCTCATTAGGACAACAAAAGCTGAAATGTTGGAGTGTTTTTCTAGTATTCCACCATGACGGTATCCTACACGCTCAAGGTGGCCAATGCTAAGTTTGGAGGCTTCTCAAAGTTGCTCTTCCGATGGAAAGGAAGCATTTACAAGCTTCTATACAGAGAATTCCTGGTCTTCTGTTTACTGTACGGCTTCATCAGTATTCTATACAGGTATCATGACATTCCAAACATTCTAATAATCCACTTTTTTTAACAGTTGAACATTGTTTTGGCTGATGATTTTTATCCAGAGCAAATTACAAGCAAGCAATGGTACGAGTGCCAAGTCATAAAGAGATGCCATTTTTTTTTGTATTGCCAACAGTATATGCTGCAAGGCCAAGTTTTAAGTTTAACCTTAGAAAACTAACTTAATGCAAATTATATTTAGTAGAAAGTAGAGACATTTCTTTTTAAGTAATGGTTTGAGGATAGAAATGGCCTTGGTTATTCAAGTGTACACATGAAGTGCTGTTGTCCTTCAACAACTCAATCAATTCATGTTGCATCTTACAGGTGTGTCCTCACTAACAAACAACAAGAGGTGTTTGAGCGACTTGCACGCCATTGCAACAAGTTTGCTAAACTCATCCCTATGTCATTTGTTCTTGGTGAGCATAAATGTTCTGACCATAGCAACATGACATTACTAACTCCTTGGGTTCCTTGTACTAAGTTAAACTGGTCTGTGGTCTTTGTCAGGGTTCTATGTCACCCAGGCGTTTCAGCGTTGGTGGGGTCAATATACAAGCTTTCCCCTGCCAGATAACCTGATGATGGTCGTATCTGGGAATGTCCATGGCGCAGACGAAAGAGGCCGTCTGCTGAGGAGAACTCTGATGAGGTATGCAAACCTGTCGTCTGTCCTCATCCTGCGCTCCATCAGTGCACGAGTACGCAAGAGATTCCCAACTCTGGAGGACATTGTGGAGGCAGGTAAGAACTTTGCATCTGAAAATGTGTGGGAGGAATAGAAGTACTGTATTACATTTCAAGGTGTTTTCCACATCTCTAATAAAGTAAAGAGCCTTTGCATTGTTTCCTGCAGAATTATAATTATTTATATAACCTACTATACATACACTCAGTAATGCTATTGACACAAAACTTTCTTCATATGGACACAGAAAGTAATTATAACTTGCAGTTCAGTAAGTGAGTCAGACAATGATTAATTAACTGCTCTGATGTATTTTATTCAGTGAAGGATTTGTTTGGCTGATTCAAATGTTTTTGATTCACTAAAAAGAAATGGCTCATAAGAGTCATTTATTCGTGAAGTGGACTAATTGCGTCGCATTGTATGCTTTTGATTCACCAAAAAGAACCAGTTAATAAGAATCATTTATTTGTGAATCAGACTACTCTGGTCACGTTGTATGTTTTTTCAAGGATACTTCAATAGAAAGACATTTCTTGCCATTACACACTGTAAAAAAAATTCTGTACAATTTACGGTAAAAAAATGTAAAAAAAAATATGGTAGCAACATTTTAGGTTTTTACGGTTTTAACTTAAATTTACAGTTAAATACCGTAATTTCATTAACTGATATAATGTTAATATACCATCCTATTGAAGTACTGAAATCTGTTTTGCACGTTTGCAATTCAATGATAACCACCAAATGCAGATGGTGATGAGA